TCAGAAAGAGCACATTGAACTGCCTATTCAATGAAAAGATCAGGCTGGTACACCCGGACAAATTATAACTTCGAAAGACTCAAAAAATCATGATTTGTACCAAATGATCCAATAGGGGCGATGTTTGGGATTTATTGATAGAAAAAAATTTAAATGTCTAAGATGTTCTTATAGATTCGGATAGAGCATGAAATTCTCTATCTAATGAGTTTATTCTTGACGAGTTTTGTTCGCACTCTGATAGACTTTCCAATAGAAAACTGATCTTTTAGGGCTTCCAAAGAATACTTCAGATTTTTCTTATTGTCCGAGCATCTTTGAAAAATAATGTGATATTTGTAATTAGCACACATAGCGCTATCGAACTAGATAGACTTCTGATGAAACGGCGAAAAAAAATTTTTTTTGAATCCTGAGGGATCCCGAGGGGTCAAAAAATTGAGCTGTGATAAAATGCAAAATAAACTTGTGGAAAATCATCGAGGGTCAATGCTGATTATTGAGCTAATAAAATTAGGTCGATCTTGTTTGGGATGATCAGCCCACAATTTGGCACCCCTCCTTTAAAATGTATAAGATACGGTCATATTATTGATATATATTACTGTCATTCATCATATTGTAGGCTGATGGGATATATTTCCAATTGAAGGTACGAAACAATTGACAAAAAAGAAAAGTACAACTTTAAATTCAACAGTTTCACAGAAATATTTTTAATTTACAACGCCGCTTCTAATGGGAATAGAATTATGCACTAAAAATTTGTCCACATATGATCCAGATTGACAACTTTGGAGAGTAACGCCGCTTCTTTTTAAATTATTTTTCCATTTTTCTTAATAGAAAATGCTCAGAAATGAGTTGAAACGATATCTATGATCAGGAGAAAAAATGTTTTTTTTTCTAACTTAGAAAGAACTCATTTTGTGCTTAATATGGCTTTACCATGTCTAGAATGTCAATATAATCTGAAAAAGTCAGGTTCAGTGAAAAATTGCTGTAAGAAATCCTTCTTCTACAAATTGAATTTTACTTATAGTTCACCTGTAGAATGCTCGCACTAACGCTATATCGGTATTATAAATGGAGAGACATTCTGTGGCATTAAAAAAGAATAACGTTTTTCAAGTTTTAAACAGATAAAAGTGAAAAGGTTTTCTTTTGATGAATCAATATAGTGAAAAATTATTTAATCTGGGTAGATAAAATATTTAATACTGCAAATATAGATAAGACGAACTTCAATTCATGAGACAATCTAATCCTATTCAGATGATAAATAAAAACTCATGAGAAACAAAAAATCACTTTAATTAAAAACATTGCAAGTATATAACTTCGAAACTCAATCTTCAAAAATCAACTTGTATAGAAAAAAACCTATAAAAGACAATTCTCATAAGAATATCACATGTGAGTAAATTTATGCTTTAGTAAAGGTAAAGACTTAGTAAATTTTCTCGACAATTCATACGAAACAAGAAAGTTTCACTTTCAAATATTATTAGTTATGTACAGTAAGTAGCGCTATCTACAAATACAGGTATGAGAGCCTTCACATATTTTATACTGCTTAGATATTTATTTTTTGTAAAAAGAAGAAGTGAACATAAAAAAAAAACATGAAATTTTCTTGTTTGTATTTGTTCAATGAATGAAATATACATAAAAACAAAAAAAAAGAAAGAAAGAAACATATTAAATAATATCAATAATTTTTTTTAAAGATTATATTTTTTTCTAAGTTCATCTCGTTTTTTCTGTCGTTCATCAAGTTCAGCTTGAGTCACACGTTTTGTTGGTAAAAGAATCATTGTCGATTCATTATTTGTTGTTAATTCTTCAGTTTTTTTACGATCATCACCTACTTTTAATGTAAATTCAACTGTTTTAACATCTTCAATAGGTTTTATAGGTTGTTCTGTTTTAGATGAATGATGAAATGTTCGTTTTAATTTTGAACTTAATTTTTTTTCTCGTTTTCTTTCTTGTTCTTGTTGTATTTTTGTTAATTCATGATTTTGTTGACGTTGTTGAATCGATACTGTACAATGTTGACCACCTAATATACATGCAAGAATAACACCCACAACAATCGCTAATAGAATTAATAACAAAATCGCAACATATCCATACCATTCCATTATATATGATATACAATTCGATCTAATATGTCAAATAATGAATGAAAGAGTGTATATTTCGTGGTAGGAATATTGGTTATAAAATCAGGTGGCTGTAAAATAAAAAAATCTACGAATGAGAAAGAAAAAAAAAGAAAAATAGCAGAACAGAACAGCACAAATATTATTATACATGACTGACTATGATTTAAGTCTTATAATGTATAATATATACGGCAGTATATACAATAAGCAGTATGATGTTTTGATGACTCAAGTATACAGAAATACAAGCAGCATGTGAAATTTTATATTGTTGGCTTTGTTTTTTTTTTTTTTTTTTGTTCTTTTTCTTCTTTTCATGAGAAGGAATGTTATATTTCTTTTACTCACTGGTATTCATAACATAATGACTATGATGGTCATATTCTTATTGAATAAATATTTTTAATTTTTACAAAAAAAAAATTCTCGATTAAAAAAAATAAAAAATCTTAGAAAATATGTTCTATTTAAATATAACTAACGACATCATAACAGCAATACATTGAATAATATTTAAATTCATTAAAATATCAATATTCTCTTCTAAATGTCTTTTTGGTTCTTGTTTTCCAATATTTTTTATAGACAATTGTTCTTGTGTAAATTTTCCTTCTTCGTCTAATGATTTAATATAATTATTTGATAAATCAACCATTTGTTTAATAATATTAGTATTATATTCATTATGTTGATTAAAATTTTCAATAGTTAAATTATTCATCCATGTTTTTTTATGTAAATTTAATAACATTTTTTGTTCTAATTCATTTTTTCGATAATTTATATTAATAGAATAATAATGACGATTAAGACCATGTATTAAAGCTTGTATAGATGGTTTTATTAAATGACCTAAATTTGATGTTGTTTGTCGAGGTTCTTGACCTAAAATTAATACTTGTGGTTGTATTAAACGAAATGCATCAATAACAACTTTTCCTTTTACACTTTGAACTGGATCAATAACAACAGCCTAAATACAAAAGATAATATTATCTAAAAAAAACAATAACAATACTTACAACTGTACGTTCAGTTAAAGCTTCAAAACTTTGTTGAGTATTCATATCAACACCAGATAGCCAACAACCAAAACCTGGATGTGAATGATACCAACCAACAACCATTTCAGATCGATCTGTTTGTTTAAGCATATCAAGCATTTTAGTTTGAAAAACAGGATCAACAGCTTCAACACTAACACCAGTACCTGATTGTGGCATAGCAAAAACATCAATAACATGAACTGTATAATCATCAACAAATTCTCCTAACATTAATCTAAAATAATATAATGAAATTTTTAAGCAAAAAAAAAAAGAGAAAACTAAAATGATAATTTTACCCCATCACTTCCATTGGTACACCAGCTCGACCATGTTTAAGCATTTTAAGTAATGATAATGATGATATATAAATTTGTTCAGCTGTATCAACCATTGATGTATCATCAGAAGGAGTATCATTTCGGAGTGATTGTCCAAAAATTGTATTACCAAGAAGACGTGCCATTTGACAACTAAATTTTAACTATAAGTGTTGTAATTTCATTTTCATGTTGTCAGTATTAATCATAGATACATACGATAGTTTGAGTTCTTTATTCGCTTATTTTTGTAACCAATAAAATACAAGATCTACAAGACTATTCGGATTTTCATCAATAACACCAAGTTTTTATATTGTTGTAAAGAAAATAAGTAAATCGCATAAATATCATGCTACTCTTGTACTTGGTGATGATGTTAGATTAGAATTAATACTTTGTATACGGTGAGTTTGATGAATTACTTGCAAGATTAAACTAAAATAAAAATAAATTACAAGTAATTCTAGTTTATTTTTTAATATTCGAATGAGAATCTAATTTGAAACTTTTAATAGGATTTCTATATTGACATATTAGATAAATTGTTTATTCTTTAAGCAAAATACTTCGGTTTTCTGTGGACATTCTAATAATAAATTCATATTAATTTTTACTTCAGTGAGCTGATGCCTGAATGATCATCATCACTTACTGATATAATTGGTTTATTGAAACGTAATCGTAATCGTTTTAAGAGGCATATTTATAGCAAATGGTGATCTGATTTCATTAAATTTGAAGATTCGATTTGTTCAAAGACATCACATTTGACATAAATACGGAGTGTTTTTGATTTGTTATTTTGTTTTTAGAAAATTGAGTAGTTGCTGTTTTTTCCAGTTTACTTTGAATTATTAGTACCTACACTTGGAGTGAAAATTGGTAAGATCGCAAGATTCAGCCGTCTCAAGTCAATTTGATTCTGATCGGACTACTTCAAAGTAGTCCAATCTCGATCATTGATCGATCTCTCAATAGATTCTCGATTAACTTTTAATCGAGAGATAATCTAAAAAAAACAACGAATGAACATGTATAAGTTCAGTATGTTTCATCGCTGCGGTTATGTATCGCTGCATGCGTACAACAAAATGATGGATGAATGAATGAATGATTAGCCATTATGTGTCGTATTTTATCGTAAATCTACTTCATGATTTACAACTGTCTTAACGCCGAATCTCATATAGTGTGTGTTTTTGCCTTTGATATTTGCATTTTGAGAAGCAGCCCAATATAATCACATCGCCATGAATCAATGCAAACGTAATCGAACACTTTTTTTGCTCGATAAACTTCCGTATTTGCAAAGACATAAAGCATATATCTGAATAATAGTATCGTTTTTTTATTCTTACCGTAGAAAAAGAAATGGGAGAGACTCTGTCGTTCATATATTACTTGATATAAGTCGAATTACGTGATGGTGTAGCTGTTTCACATTTTCTATCTGGACACGTTATGTTTGAAACAGAGATGTCCATCGCGGTTGAAAACTGACCGCTGCCGCGCCGCGACGATAAAAGAAAAAAGCTAACGCGCAGCTACCGCACCGCGGTGATAAAAACAGAAAACCTACCGCGACGCAGCCGCGACGCCACCAAAAATAACCATGCCGCGATGATTATTAGAATAATGTTGTGAATTTTACTTCTGTTCGAATTCATGCATTTTTGCATTGTTCTCCAAAAAAACCTACCGCTACCGCGCCGCTGCCGCGATAGTTAGTTTAAAAAACGACCGCTGCCGCGCCGCCACCGCCACAGCGGCAGCGGTCGCGCCGCGATGGACATCTCTGGTTTGAAAGTAATCGTCTGACTAGCGATTCAAGATCGACTGACAACATTCTAACAAACAACAAAACAGTGTATTCACTTCACAACTGATTATGACAATTGCTATAATGTTCCGCATGTTTTCATATATCTTTCCGAGAACAATCACCAGCAGTATGAGATCCATCGACCGATTCGTTTGAATGAAAAATTTCTTATACGGCCAATCAAACGGGTTATGATCGTGAAGACATCTGATGTCAAACAACGCACTGCTAGCATTTCTCATATAACTATGAGATCAGACAACTATTGTTTTGTTTACTCATTAGAGAAAAATTTCGAATATTTAGTGTAATGCATTTGTGTATACAAATATCAGTGTATATTTTTTTCATCCTAACAACACGAAAAGTAAAGAGAAACAAAAAAAAAAGAGAAAATATCGAAAGAACAAAATACATGTGAAGAGGAATGCATACATGAGAAAAAAAACTATCTACCTGATATATATGTTATGCTGCATTGATTTATATAAACAACCTTAAGTGGCATATAAATCAAGGTAACATGAATAGTGCACTCTAGATATTTTGTTCCCCAAGGACAGTTGCTTCCTGAAGGTTTGTTTTTCTAGTTTCACTTAATATTGAGCTATGTCTTTCTCATTGATCAGTGATAGATAATTTTTAGGGACTTAGAAACTATGAAATGAAGAAGAGAATAAGATTATTATAAATCCATTTAGGATTTGAAGATGCTAGGATATTTACGACATAGTTTTAAAATTATAGCTAGTTTTACTAAGTTATCATCATAGTTGGAAGAAGTAGAACCATAAAGTAGAATTGCATTGAAGGACACAGAACAACTAAGATAACAAAATTAACCATCACCTAATTATAAGATATAGAATAACTATATTTTTTCTTTTTCATACTTTGTTTACACTACTTATTTGATTCTATATTTTTACACTATAACTAATTAGTTAACTTCTACTTCCTCCAACTGTAATGATAATTCAGTAAAGCTAACTATAATTTTAAAATTACATTGTCATTTCTCAGCATCTTCAGATGCTGCATGGATTTATAATAATCTTATTCTCTTCACTTCATAGTTTCTAAATTCCTTAAAATTATCTATACCTTATCAATGAGAAAGATGTAGCTCCATAATAAGTGAAACTCGAAAGCCAATCTTTGGGAAACAGCTGTCATCGGAGAGCAAATGTCGCGGAAGCAACTGTTTGGGATGCAGTATTCATAGATTCACGCGTCTTCTCTGTGGCTAGGACTACAATAAGCTCTTCTTATTCATATTATTTAGAGCATAACAAAAATATTGAAGTTAAAGAGATATAATCTGCCTTGATTTCAAATGTAACAGTTTCGTACGGAAAAAGATTCTTTAAAAATTCGCACTGTTAAAAGAACTTTTACCTTCTTCGAGGGTGTGAAATAAGACAGTAGAAGGTCAAATCATCGTTTTTTTTCCGGCATAGTTCTGTGAAACATGCAAATTATGAAGGTCGAATGTGTACGCAATTGATTACAGCAATGTTCTACTTCGTAATTTCATTCTATCGTCAATAATAATTCGATATAGAATAACTGTTTCTTTTTTAAATCAAGAATTATTTTGAATTTAGGATACACGAAAATCATTTTTAATTGGTGCCGGTCTAAATATTGATAATTCAACTGCAATGCTCTTTTTATAGTATCAATTTATTTCAATATCGTGATTTTCGTATATAATTATCCTTTGTTTGAAATTTTTTTTTCGTTATTTAGATGCTATAGAGAAGAAAATTGAAAATTCAATTACAACAGTTATTAAACAACGACATATAAAAACTCGTGATATTGATTGTTATACTACTCAATACAATTATCTTCTAAGTGTACTTCAATAGCTTGAATATTAATTGTTTTTCTTTGCTGGTTTATTAAAAATCTTGCTTATATTTTTTTTAGTAATATTAACTTAACAAATAGATAAATGTTTTTTTGTTTTTTTTTTGTTTCTTGTCTTATCAATCATAATGAACTACAAGTCATGTTTTGTTCGTTGTCTTGCTTTAATAGTTGATTGTAATTCTTGAATTGTTCGATTAAGTTTATCATGTAAATTTTGTGTATCAACAAATTTAAATTTATCAACTTCTTTTTGTAATAATAAAAAACGACTTAATTGATTTGTATCATTTTGTTCGTTTAACCAACGATGATAATCATTTAAATCAGCTGCTTCTTTATTAGTTTGATTTTTATCATGAATATGAGTTTCTCCACCATGTAATTGTGCATCAAGAAAATCAATTGATGGTTGTATTAATAAACGTTTTGCAGCTTCAATAATAGATGTCTTATTATCTTCATGTGAATGTGGATGTGAATCAATCATATCTAATGATGGACCAGCTTTTTCTAATTGTGTATCATTTATATTAGAAACTGTTTCATTCGTTTCTATTGAATGATGAACATGATCATGAATTGAATCAAGAGAAGGCATATTAACAAGTGCATGTGATTCATTTTTTGAAATATTATCATCTATTGGAGATTGATCTTCTTCAACAAATGGATTGAAATATCCTTAAAAGAAATATCTTTAAATAATTAAACAAAAAAAAAAAATAATATGATAAATACCTGCTATTGGTATACGTGCAGTATTTATTATTAAAATCTTTATCATTATTATCATTAAAGTAAGATTGATTTGTTTCATCATGATTTTTCCTTTTTTTTTATTGGTATGTAGTGTTTCATTCAATTTGTTGATCTTGCATATCGTTTTGTAAATCAACAGAATATGGCATCAGATGTATAACTATGATAAAATAATGTCCTTGACTTGCCACGTCAATAGTTTAATCGAAATGAAAAAGAAAATTTAATCAATACATGAGAAAGAGAGAGAGAAAAACTTATTTCTTGTTGTTGACATAATCAAATAAATATTGCAAAATTATATTTAAATGTCAATATTTTCGAAATTCAAAATAAATAATTATACAAATAAGAACAATTATATCTTCAATGAATTCAAACAATATAGAAAATGTCATATTCAATAAATGACACTAGTTTTTTTTTTTTTTTTTTTTTAGTTTATTAATTTTCTATGTATATATTTATGTACGACATTTTTCTTATTCATGAACAAAAAAACAAACAAACAAAAAATTATCTAATACTTTTTTTTGTTTTTTAAAAACGATTAGATTTGAGAATATCAATTGGTTTTCTATTGTCATAAATTGATGGTGCTAGAAAGAAAAAAATTATTCATCAATAATTCATACAAAAAAAAAGGAAAATATAATAAATATGATAATTCTATACCTTGTAAAATAATTCCACATGTACCAGCAATACAAGCTGTTGTAAATATATAAAGAAAAAGACGATCGATTACTAATGCTACATATTTCCATTCTTCTTTTATCTATTAACAAAAATTATTAAATTATTTTTGAATTTTAATCGAAAGTTAAACATTAGTAGTAAATGTCCGGACTGATCCGACATCATCAACAATAGAATAATCCTGAATAAGTTATAACATACTAACTACTTTCTATATCAAAAAGAAAAAGAGGCAGAAATATTCTTTTTATTTCTATGAATATTTAAAAATAATGATTGATATTTTTTTGATTATTTTTAAAATTTTTACTTTTTTCTCTTCATCTTCTTGTCTCATATGTGCTGCAATACATTTTAAACCATCAAATGCTTTTTTTATTTCATTTGGATAAAGTGATGATGATTGATTTATTTCTTCAGATTGTTTTAAATCATTTTCATTATCAAAATTTTCAATTATATCTTGATCAAAATTATTATCATTATTATTAATTAAATGTTTATTAAATTGATTTTTATTATATGTTTTTGTATGAAGTAATGGTACAAGAAATTTTGTTGTCGAATGTTTTTTTATATGATTTGTATAATATGTTGATTGTTGTTGATATTGTAATGGAACAATTGTTTTTGGTCTACGCATCCATAATAATTTAGGTAAAACTTGTAAAAAAACTCGTCGTACCCATGGTGGCATTTGATGTGTTAATGGTGAACGAAAATGTATATTAAGTACAGTAACAGTAACAACAATAGATAATGTTACTAATATCATTGTAAATAAAAGATATTTACCAATTAATGGTACAACAAGTGATGTTGGTGGTATAAGTTCAGCTAATAATAAAAAAAATACAGTTAATGATAATAATATTGATATACAAAGTGCCACTTTTTCACCAGAATCTGATGGTAAATAAAATGTTAATACAGTTAAAAATGATATACCAACACATGGTATTATTAAATTAACAGTATAAAATAATGTTTTACGACGTATTGTTATAAAAAATGTTATATCAGTATATGTTTGTGGACAACATGTATATTTTCGTACATTTCTTTGTGCTGGAACTTCCATTATATCCCATTCAACTGAACGATAAAAATCTGTTAAATCAATAGCATATTGTACACCTAGAATAAATTTAAAAACCAAAAAAAAGATATAATTAATGAATTTTATTTTTTACTATTATTTCCATAAATAGTTGTTGAACCATTTGTTTGATTTATATGAACAAGATCAACTTGTTCACCATTATAAGTCCATGAACCAAATTTCATTTGACAACGTTGAATATCTTTTAAATAATAAGTACCCTTTTTTTTTTTGTTTCAAATTAATAATAAATAAAAATTTGATTACAAAAGTACATTAAAATCTTTCTACAGAATAGATCAAATAGTAAGAGTTATGCAAACTTTTTAGTATTAAATTTAGAAAATTTTTGTCATAACAATAGAGATAAAATTCTCTTTTAACATATTTTATAAGATTTGATCAAAATAATTAATCAATACGATAATCATTAACATTCTTACATTGGAAAACATGAGACGGATATGAATATCAACTATATTCAAATAGGTTAGGTATGGTTTGAAAAATATTTGAATTGATAAATAATAGATTTGAATAAAGAAAAAAAAAAAAGTAATTAATTTATATAAATTATTCAAATAGAAAAATGACCTTTCAAATACGATTTACTTATTCTAAGAATTTTTAATTAAGATCAATAAAATTTTTATTGAAATTTCGAACTTTTCATCTTCTAATAGAAAACTTAGAATTATTCTATCTTGAGAAAAAAATATTTCAGTAACAGAACAAACATTTTTATGTCCGGAAGTACCATTCTCAAAACAGAATACAGATTAGTATACTCGGAAATGCCATTCCCAGAACAAAACAAAAGCATTTTACATCCGGAAGTGTCTTTCTCAAAAAAAAAAACGCTCAGTTCTTATCAAAAGAACTATTTGAATAGATCACTTCAGATTTGAACTAGAACTAAACTTATTGACCTTAACACTCAATATGTTTTTATATTATTGAGTTTGACATTAAGAAATCTTTCAACTAACCAAATGGAAAAAATTCAACATTGATTGTACAACTTGATTTGTATATTGCTGGTGGCTAAGAAATATAAATATCATATAATACTCTTTTTTTTTTGATTCTCTTCTTATTCATTCGCTTACTTCCCAAATAACACGACCATCATAATAAACAGTTGCTTTCGTCATTAAAGTTACTTCATAATTTCCATCTGCACTAAAATATAAAAAAAACATTTCATCCATCTTTTTTTTTTTTTCTATAAATCAAAACAAAAAGAAAGCAAAAGAGAAAAGAAAAACCTGGTTTCTATATTAATAAAATTAGTAAAAAAGAATATTCCAGATGTTACTTTATTGTTTTGACTTATCATTAGAGATGCATTATGTACATTATAATCTACTATAAGTAATCAGGAAAAAAAAAGGAATTCATCCTTCTAGCTTATTGATTCTGATTTATTAGATTTTTATGATAATTTTTATCATAATACTGTTATATCCTTGAGGAATTAATTAAAATATCAAGCAAAAAGATTTCTATGAAAATTCAAAAAACCAATTTATCTGATATTAATAAGAGAAACCAAAGAATTTATTTTAACAATATACAATAATCATAATACAAAAAGTAATATATTAATTAGTTTTAAAAATTTATCTATATTCATAAAAAAAAAAAAGAAAACAAAACAAAACAATAGTTAGTTGTAACTATATTCTTTTATTATGAATACATATGATAGAAATCATATTCAATGGCCGTGAATTGAAAATAATTCTTAACTATTCAAAACAACATATATATATATATAATTACTTATTATATAACACAATATCAGGAAGCCAGATTTGTTGGCTTGGAATGTATAGTACGTCGACACCTCCATATTTACTTGGATCCCATCGAAGTTTATCATCATACCATTCCTATGTATGAATAATTTAATATTGTTATTTTTTTTTTTACATATATATTTAATATTTATACCTGTTTTAACCAAACATTTGATGTCATAATTTGATTTTTTTCATCCTTACAAAAAAAACAAACTTTATTTAATTAAACAAAACGAAAAAAAACATATTCTACATACAACATCAAGTAATTGTGTTAATCGAAGACCCAAATAAACAGTTAATTTTTCACTATTATTTTTTATTGGTCGAATTAATTTATTATATGAACGTACTTTAATTAATTCTTCATATAAACGTTTTGCTTCAGGATTAGCAAATGTAACTATATATATTTATAAAATAAGAAATTTTTTTTTTAATTTTCTACTTACTATTAAAAAAACATAAATAAATAAAAAATATTTCTAGAATGATAATACTCATCTTCATACATGGAAATGATTATTAAATATAATCTAAAATCCCAAACAAAAAAAAAAATTTCTAATATATATAATGAATAGATTAAATTAACTTAAAAAACCCGTAAGAAAAACATACATATGATTGTCACTAAAAAAAAAAATATGCTTATCTCAAGACGCATGTTATAATTGGATAATTGTATCTATAGACAGAAATAATAATGATATAACGATAAATAAACTCTATGAAAAGAAATTATTCTTGTTATTTTATATAGTTCGAGAGAGAAGTCAAATGAGAATCCTGCTGGTTAATACTAATGTTAATCTTAATCATAGTCAATATAACAAAAAAGAAAAAAAAAACTTTCAATATATATATATAATATTAGAGTATCATCAATTGGAACTAATTAGATTCGAACTGTCAAAGGTGAAACGTAATAGAATTTTTTTTTCTTCTTCTATGATTTGTCTTGATAATCATCATTTATATCTATGTAGGATTTTACCGAATAATATAATACATACATTCTTATAGTTATAATAATATTAGAAACGAGACGAATGATTTCCGCTCATTGTTAAACGAGAGTATGCATGCGTATATGATCGGAATAGATTAAATCAAGGCGTTCGGCTTTATTAATGGTTTATTGCGGTTGTAAGAAGAAGAAGAAGAAGAAGAAAAACTGTTCTCTCTTTATATTATAGAAAATTGAAATTAGTCTATTCTCTTCATAGAAAATTCAATAGTTGAAAAAAAAAAAAAAAAAAAAGAAACAGATAATGATATGATCTGTGAAAAACAAAAGTCATTTACCTTGACTAATAATTTTTTTTTTTATCAAATAATTTATATTATGTATCTATGTGACTAGTTTTTATTAGACAAAATCAACTATTGATATTTAGATGCCCTTGGGGAGAAAAAAGTTTTTGGTTCACTTTGATTGTCAGAATATCTCTTTTATTATCCTTTTTCCTAATGTCTGTTGAGAATATAGTAGCAATAAGAGAACGAGAGAAAGACTAAGAATAACATTGATGACATTATTTAGTCTAAAGCTCTCTTTCTGTCTTTTTTTTTCTCGCTAGTATTTTCTTTTATTTTTATCAAAACAAGTCTTCTTCTTTTTTTTTTTTTTTTTTGTTTTGTTTTGTTTCTATTCATTCATCATCTTTCTATTGCGTTTTTTGCAAGTCAATCATTCATTTACATTCACTTAGAATATTCTCAATATAGTATTTTATTGAACTAATAATCCTTATCATAAAAAAAAAAATAAAAAGAAAAAAAACTTCTTCATTCAAGTCTATTAATATTTTGATTTGATCTATTCTTATTATCATATGTCAATGGAATTCGGACTAGTTTTCATTCAATTTGGTATAATATTCTTAATCAATGACGGTAGATTGTATTTTTATTTTTTTTTCTAAATATTAACATATAATTTTTTTTTTGTCCTAATATAATCATAGTTGTTAAAAGTTCTTATCATGAAGAACAATTATATAAAGAATTATTTCAAAATTATAATCCATTAATACGACCTGTACGAAAATTAGAAGATACAATAACTGTTTCATTTAGTATTGCTTTATTACAATTAATTAGTGTAGTTGAAAAAGAACAAGTACTTAAAACAAATGTTTGGTTACAAGTTGTATGTTAAAACTAAAACAAAAAAAAATGAAATTTAATATAAATATTTTTCTTTTTCAATTTCATTTATTTTAGAAATGGCATGATTATCAAATGCAATGGAAACGAGAAAAATATGGTGGAATTCATTCAATACGTGTACCACCAAATCAAGTTTGGACTCCAGATGTTAGTTATATATATATATTAATATTCAAACAAAAAAAAAAACAAATTCATTTGTATTTTAGATTGTTTTATTTAATAATGCTGATGGAAGATATGAAGCATCATTTAAATCTCATGTTGTTGTTTATTATAATGGTGATATGAATTGGGTACCACCTGCTATATATAAATCAAGTTGTTATATTGATGTTAAATTTTTTCCTTTTGGTATTAATAAATTTAATTAAGAATTTTCTTTGTTCTATTTTTGTATTTTTTGAGATCAACAAATATGTGAATTACGTTTTGGTTCTTGGACATATAATCAACATCAATTAAATTTTACATATTATGATGAAAAAGAACGAAATGTTACAATAAAAGATTATGTTGTTAGTGGTTCATGGGATCTTTTAGATGGACCTATGTCAATTCAACATCCATCAGATGAAGCTAATCGTATATATGAAAAAAGTTATAGACATGATCGTGTTGAATTTGTATGTAAACTTGTTATAAGACGTAAAACACTTTTTTATACAGTTAATTTAATCATCCCAACGGTAAAAAAGAAAAACCATTGACTTATATCTTATTATATTTAATTTGAAAATTTTTTTTATTTTTCTAAGATGCTTATATCATTTTTATCAATATTTGTTTTTTATTTACCAACTGATGCAGGTGAAAAAATGACATTATCTATATCAATTCTATTAGCATTAGTAGTTTTTTTATTACTTATATCAAAAATTTTACCACCAACATCAACAGTTATACCATTAATAGCTAAATATCTTTTATTTACATTTATTATGAATATAATAACAATTTTTTGTACAGTTCTTATTATTAATTATAATTATCGAACACCACGTACAAATAAAATGCCCTATTGGATGAAACGTCTTTTTATTGATATATTACCACGAATACTACGTATGGAACGACCACATAAATATGAACGTGATAATGATGATGAAATGATTGAACCAACAATAATGAATTCAATACGTGCATCACGTGTTATATCAATACCAACACCAATTACAAATAGTCAACAATCATTAACAATAACAGATAATAATAATGAAGAAGAAAATCAAATGGATTTTTTTCTAACAAAAGAAGTTTATGAAGCTGTTGAAGATCTTAGTTTTATTGCAAATCAAATGAGATCAGCAACTCATTATGAAGAAGTAATACATCATAATGAAATCAAATTTATTATTACTGTTTGTTTCTTTTTTTTTGTGTCATATTTTAGATTCGTGATGATTGGAAATATATTGCAACTGTGATCGATCGATTACAATTATATATATTTTTTGCAGTTACAACATTTGGTACATTATCTATATTATTTAATGCACCATATATTTTAAATGTAGTCGATCAAACTGCTATATTAAAAAATTGGGATCCTACATTTGGTACTACTTAATTAATTGTTTCTTTTTTTTTTGTTTTTTTTTGGTGCTTATATAATATTTGTTTTTCTTTTCCGGGAAATAAACAAAAATCAATCACTTACAAGTTCTTTTTTTATTGAATATAGTGAACGATATAAAAATTTGTGTTTTTACATAATGAATTGACTGATTGCAAATGCTCTTTTCTCTCTCTCTCTCTGTCTTGTTATCTCTTATTAATTGCCTTCTAATCGGGTTAGTCGTCGTCTTCATATTACCATAATTTTTTGCGCTCACTTCAATCATGCAAATATTAAGGCTAATGTTTCTTCTCGTCCCACAAAATAGACAATTACAAATATCGAGATACTTGTATTCAGAAGTTTTCTGTCAAGCGAACGTCCTTCTATTATTTTCTTTTTCTTCTTGTCAATCGTTGTTATTATTTAAATGATCAATATATATGTACGTGAATGACACAATGATAACAATAATAAAGTTGTCGCGCATGCTGATTCAAACGACTATTGATAAGGAAGTAGACTATGAAATTTTTTTTGCATCATGTCACGTAAAATTATCATTGAGACGGAAGGAATAGCAGAAAAAAAAAAAAAAAAAAAAAGAAAAGAAAACCGACCTATTCATTTTCTCGATTTCCTTATTACATTTTCAACTATTAAATATTCATCTTTGTTCGTATTTTTAACTATCAATTAAATAATGTTTTATCTTATATATTTTTTCATATTTAATTGTATAATTATTAAAATAAATGGTAAAATAATAATAATTCTATTAATAAATATTGATAATAAATGTTTGTTTTTTTGTTTTTCTTCTTCTTTATTTATTTATCTATATACAGGAGTGAATATACAAGAAGAAAATTTAATGAATATTTTATTTGGTAGACAATCTCAATATAATCCACTTATAACACCTATTTATAATTCAAGTGAACCATTAGATGTTTATTTTGGTTTAACATTAGCACAAATAATAAATGTTTATGAAAAAGAACAAATTGTTAAAGTTAATGTATGGTTACAACTTCGTTGGTATGATTATCAAATGAAATGGAATCCTGATCGATTTGGTTTGTTCAAAATCTATAAAAAAAATAAAGAAATAAAAGAATTAGATATTAATCTATTAAATATTTAGGTCGTCTTGATAGTATTCGTGTACCACCAGGACAAGTTTGGACACCAGATTTAGTTTTGTTTAAGTAAGAATTTACATATATGTTTTTGTATTTCGTAAATTTTAATCTTTGTTTTTTTTGTTTAGTAATGGCGATGGTAAAATATTACAAAAAAATCTTTTCTTTTTTTGCCTTGATATTTAATAGAATAAATTTAAGGTAATTATGAAGTAAGTTATAAATCGAATACGGTCATTTCTTCAGATGGACATATTCAATGGATACCACCAGCAATTTATAAATTGACTTGTGTAAGGTTTATTGTGTTAAATAACTAAATTTCAAATTTCGTTTTTTTTTTTAATATTTTTCTAGACAATCAATGTAGAATATTTTCCATTTGGTATACTGATCATAGTTTTTTTTTAATTTTTTTTTTATGGATATTTTTATAGATGAACAAAAATGTGAATTAAGATTTGGTACTAGTGGTCGTAGTGCTTCTCAAGTTCGTTTTGGTTTGTTGTTTTGTTTTTTTTTTTTTTTTCTTCACTTCATTAATTTAATGATAAAATTTTCTTAGGTTGGTATGCAACTGCGAATTCAATGGAATTATCTGATTATGTTCCATCGGGTATATGGACATTAATTGATGCTCCAGCTGAAATTCGTACTATTCAATCATCTGAATCACCATATGAAACTCGATCTGAAATGGTGTTTTTTATGAGTAAATTAATTTATTATCATCTAATTTCTTTTTGGTAGTTGGTTTTTTTGTTTTTTTAGTTATTCGACGTAAATCTTTATTTTATACAATAAATTTAATTTTACCAACAATGATGATTTCTCTTTTAAGTATAACATTATTTTGTTTACCAAGTGATGCAGCAGAAAAAATGATGCTTTGTACATCAATACTTGTTTCATTAGTATTTTTTATGTTACTTATATCAAAAATTCTTCCATCAACATCATTAAGTATTCCATTAATATCAAAATATTTAATGTTTACATTTATAATGAATTTATTAACAGTATTTTTATCTGTTTTATCATTATATTTAAATCATCATCGTACATCAATATTAACACCTGTACCATATTGGATGAAAATAATTTTTTTACATGCATTACCAACATGTTTATTTTTAAATAAACCATATGATAATATACATATACGTCAAAAACGTATATTATCTATAAATTCTCCAATATTAATACGAAAAATGAGAAATCATCAAATTGATTTATCTAATGAAATGAATTATTTAATTGAACAATTTTTAGAAGTATCAAATGATATTAAATATTTATCGAAAAAAATTCAAGGTGATACAGAAGAAATGAAAGTAAGTGTAGAAGTAAAAAAAAACAAAAATTAAGTTTTTTTCTTTTTTTTTTGTCTTTTCAAGGTTTATAATGATTGGAAATATATTTCACTTGTATTAGATCGTATTCATTTATTTATTTTTCTTATTATTACATCTATTGGTACAATATCTATGCTTTTACAAATACCAAAATTATTTGAACCACATCGAGATTCATTATTAACATCACAATCAACAACATAATTATTATTCAAATTTTTTTTTTCTTATCAAATAATATATACTTTTAATGTAGAGTTTTTTCATATATGTTCTCTTTTAAGAAGAATTCATATAAATATTTAATTCTTTTACTCAATTACGATAAAAAAAAAAGAAAAAACAATGAAATATTTATTTACTTTGAATCGAATATGTTTATTGTTGTTTTTATAAGATTATCTTAACAACAGAGTTTCTAAGTTTCACACTTAAAGGTGCCATATATATATATGACACGTATACTCGGATGATTACAATGGATCTCATATTGACATATTCTAAATTATTTGCAAGTCAGGCATACGAAAAAGAAGAAAAAAAAAGGGCTTCAACACTACGTCTTCTCTGTCTCTTTTTTTTTCTTTATTCATAAAAAAAAACAATCATTTTTTGCATCTCTCATAGAAACAATAAGAGAAAAAAAAAGTATGAGACACTATCGACATTATTGTTGTCGTAACAACTTCTCAATTTCATTATATTGAGTATGTATGTACTTTCGAGTATGACAAAAAAGAAATATTTTTTTTATAATATTGTTCACTTCTTTTTAGTCGAAAATAAAAAAATACATAATGATGACAACCACAACAATGCTTGATAAACCATTAGATGATCTATCTCGTGAAATAACTGATCTTCGACATAATAAAATAAATCAAAATTATGATATGAATAAATTATGTTCAATAATAACTGTATCAAGAGATTCATTAAAAGAAACTGGAAAATTTCAACAACATATTTTAAAACAATTACAACAATTTGAAAAATCTTTAGCTGATATTAATGAAATTTTACGTTCTAATAGTGAACAAAAATTACAACTTGAACAACAACAACAATCAGGTACTTTTTTTTCCCCCTCCAGAACTAAAAACTTTTAATTAACACATATATATATTGTGCAAAGGTGATGATGTTGACATTCGAGCTAAACTAATGGAATTAAATGCTGAAGCATTAGAATGTCGAGCAGCTGCTGTACAATTACAACTAGAAACACGAATAGTATTAAATAAAGCAAATGAAATAGAAAAACATGCTAATGATGAATTAGTGCAACAAGCATTTGAAATGAAAATCAAACAGCAAGAAATTGAAAAAAATCGTGCTGAAGAATCTGAAAGACGTGCACGATTAGAACAAGAACGACAACGATTGAAAGTATGAAATGACTAGAACAACAAAAAAAAAAAAAAATCAAAGTTTTGTTTTTCAGGAACTTCAAGAAAAACAACAAGAACAAGAACGTTTATTAGCAATGACAAAAATTCATCCACATGAAGATGAATATGCTAATTGGCTCATACGCGAGTAATATTTTCTATTTTAATATCATAGTCATATATATGATTGAATTACTTTCTTTTTTTTTTGTTCAGTTTTATGAATGATAATCAATATCCATCATGTATTATACGAACTTCACCTAATGCTTCTTCAATGCCAATTAGTATTAAATATTTAACTGTTGGTGAAACAGAAAATTTACTTGATAATCAAGAAGAACTTATAAGTACACCAATAAATATTAAATTTGATTTAACTGTAGGATTTGTTTTTTTGACATTTATTTATTTTTTTTTGTTTTATAAATCATAGACAAATGATCAAAAATTTATTATACTTGCTATTCCATATATATTTAAACGATCGACTCATCGTGAAAATGTTATTAAAATTCGTCAATCAAATGGTATATGGATATCAACTCAAACTAATGAATCAATATTTGATACTCATAAAGTTTAAAATAAATATTATATTTATAATGAGAAAGAAAAATTCCTTTTCATTTTTTTTTTAAGGAAAAACGTTTTGTTGAATGTAAATTAAATGAATCTTCCATATGTGCAGTAGTATCACGTTTAAAACATGATACAATATTTATACAAAATCAATTATCTGGTCGATATTTATCAAATGCTGATCCACGTTTTACACTTCATTGGCCAAAAAATGTTTCACAAAATGATTTTTCTATTGATATATGTATTCAACCAGTTGATTTACCAATATTTACACAATTTTTACAAAATTTTTCACATGAATGTCAAGGTTTATTAACTGTTGGACCTATAATTGAACTTAATTTTGATGAAATTAATTTATTAAAACCAATTCAATTTACATTACCAATATTAATACAATCAAAAAAAAAATTAATATCACCAAAAATAATATCAACATCAAATGATGAAACAAATATTCCTCCACCACCTACACCTAGTCAACCATCTCAACAAGAAATGATTGTTCAACAACAACAATTAATTTTTAAATCAATGCTTGGTGAAGGTTAGTTGAAGAAAAAAAAAAAAAAAAAAAAAAAAACTAAAAATTTTCTTTTTCAAAAGATTTAAATAATGAACGACTTGTACTTCTATATTCGGGTTCAAATGATAATACATGGCATATTGATACAGATATTCAACTTATTGATTCAAAAACACATGATATTATTACTACTAATATACAATATTTACATAATAGAATTATAGTTGCACGATATGATAAACAATTAATGTCATTAAAACAATTACCAAAAACTATTTGTTTATTTGAACAAACACTTAATCAACGATCTGCTACATTATTTTTTCGTCGTCGTCTTACAAATATAAATGAAATATGTATTGTATGTTGTTCAAGTCAACGTTTAGATACAATTGAAAATGATATACATCAAGAAAATTATTCAATTGAAAATGAACAAATAAAAGAAATTATTTTACAAGAAGGACAAATATTAGAATTACGTTTTCGTGGTAATGTTATACCAAAAAATAAACATCAACAATTAGTTCAATTTACATTTAATACATATTTTCCATTTTATTTTGAAACAAATATTATTGAAATAGATAAATATTCTCAACATTTATCATCATATTATTATGGATTTTTACAAATATATTCTAAACAAAAATTTTTACGAAATGGAATAAAAGAAATTGAAAAGAAAAAACAACAATTAGATATTGTAAGTATTATAAAAGATTGAAAATTTATATTTAAATGACATTTCTTTTTCTGCTAAAGGTTAAACAAGACTGGCAGGAAACTGATATTTGTCTTACTGAATTACTTCTTACTTTACCAAAACCACCTGTAGAAATTCGAACACCTATACAAAAAAGTTTAACAACATTTACTGCTGAAGGTAAAAAAAAACAAAAAAAAATCTATTTCTTTAATGACTTATTTATTCATATGTTGTTGTTGTTGTTGTTGTTTTTTTAATTTTAGGAGTTTTAACACCAACACTCTTTCGTGATATATCAACAAGTTTAGTTGGTGATGAATGGCGTCGATTAGCACGTCGTTTAGGAATGACACGTATACGTATTGAAGCTATTGAACATGATTATCATGAAGATGCACCATATTATATGTTATTTGCATGGTTTAAACGTGTACCACGTTCATCAGATAAAGTTTTATTATTAATACATGGTTTAATGAATATAAATCGATGGGATTTAGCACAAGATTTACAATCAATTAAAGATGATAAACGTACTGAACAAGGAACATTTTCAAAAGATGGTAAAATAAAATGAAATAGAAAGCAAAGAAAAAAAAAAAAAGTTGTTAAATTTATGTTTTTTGTTTTTTTTCTAGAACAATTAAAATTATTACGAGCACCATTTATACGTATTTGTCAACGTGATGAATGTGTTCGAATATGGAAACAATTAGCAAGAGAATTAATGTTAACTAATGATATTATTCAACATATTGAACAACAATATCCATCAAAACATGAACGATGTTTAAGAAGTTTAGAACATTGGGCTTTAAATCAAACACGAGCTGATATTCCATGTTTAGCTAGAATAATTAGAACACTTGGCTTTAAGCCTCTTGCTCGTATGTTTACATATTTGATATGATTTTGATTTATTTTTTTTTTTTTTTTTGTAGGTGAAATTGAAAATATGGCATAAAAGTATAAACGTAAATATTGGTTCACTATTAGTTGTGTTTATATATTATTGTTTGACATATAATTCCGAACGAATATTGTACCTTTTTTTGTTTTTTTTTTTAATTAAACTTTTAAAGAAAATTTTCATCGTTGTAATATTCTACATCAAGTTAGTTGCAATTTTTTTCTCACAGATTGGAGATTTTTTTCATACTCTTGCAAACGAGGATGATGTGAAGGTAGTGACTTTTGTCCAATTTCAACAGTTCGTTCGTAAAACGAAAGAGCTATTGAATACTCGCCCATTTCGTCATGAGTTTCACCAATGTTGTTGTAGGATTCAGCCAAATCGGGATGATCTGAAGGGAGAGTTTTTTTGCGTATATCAAGCGCTTGTTCGAAAGATGATAATGCTCTCGAGTATTTTCTCATCTTGGAATATACTTCACCGATGTTATTGTAGGATGTAGCTAAATCAGGGTGAGTCGGAGGAAGAGCTATTTGTCGTATTGCAATTGCTTTTTTGTGAAACGCACATGCTTTAGAATATTCGTCCATATTGTTATACACCAAACCAATGTCATTGTAGGAAGCAGCTAAAGCAGGATCATTCGAAGGAAGAATTCTTTTGCGCATTTCAAGTGCTTTTTCTAGAAATGAAAGCGCTTTCGAGTACTCGCCCATGTTGTCAAAGACCATACCAATGTTGTTATAAGAATCAGCCAAATCAGGATGGTTTGAAGGGAGATGCTTTTGATCGATTATAAGTGCTTTTTCATAGCATGAAATTGCTTCTTGATATTCACCTTGTTCGTCTTTGATTCGTCCAAGCTGGTGATAGAGATGGGCTTTATCATTGTGATTCGATTTTTGATCAAGTAACAACTCATAAACTTCTTCGGCTTTATCTAACTTGCCTAGTTTAATCAATAATTCCCCTAGTCGATACTGCCATTTAGATCCTTCAAAAGTTTCTTCTCGCATCCGTGCGGTGAGAATAGCGAGTTGTGGATCGTTGTCATTCGTGAGAGTGAGTTCTACCAACCAC